AACAGACCTCCATAAAGCAAGGTCTCCAACTGGACAGACAGGTGTGTTAAGTAACAAGACCGCTGCATGACAAACTCCAGGGACTTGTCTGTCTTCCGCCATTAATGCTTTTTAGTTTCTCACACAGCACTTCAACCAAAGACGAAACACAGAGTGGTGCTTGCCACCAGCACCCATGTGTTGAGGAACAGCCCCATCTACTACTCAGAGCACACAGCGCTTTGTGGCAAGACCAGGCAAAGCAAACTACCGAGCACGGAGGGAGGAGGGAAAACGCTCCTGTCTGCCCCTCTACATTTAGTCATCTTAAGGCCTTTCTACTGATCTTTCCTTTGGAGGCTCTTCCTCTCATCTTTTATGGATTCTAAAAAAGCAAGGAAAAAATTCCCATTTATAACACTTGGTTTATAGCTCCCTTGCTTCCAGATACCAGGCAAGTTTTATACCTTTGTTTAAATATGTTAAGTAGGGCCGGCCCAGTGGTGCAGTGGTTAAGTCCGCATGCTCTGATCCCGGGCGCAGACCTACACACTGCGCATCAAGCCATGCTGTGGCAGCGTCCCATAGATAAAATAGAGGAAGACTGGCACAGGTGTTAGCTCAAGGTCAATCTTCCTCAAGCAAAAAGAGGAAGATTGGCTAGTCTGCATTTGTCAAACCCTTAAGAGACCAATTTGGCTTTCCAGGCCATTTCCTTCTGAAAATTCAGACCAATAAAATAATTCAAAATGTATAAAAAGATACATATGCCACTATGTTTTTTTGGTTTGTTATCTTAACAGCCATGTGGTTTTTACACTTCAAAATATCACTTCAAGATATGGAAATAAAATAGTCAAAGAGTACAAATTTCCAGTTACAAGATGAATAAGTTCTGGGAATGTAGCATACAGCACGTTGGCTACAGTTAACAATACTGTATTGTATGTTTGAAAGTTGCTAAGAGAGTAGATCTTAAATGTTCTCAACACACACACACAAACCTAACTACGTGAGGTAATGGATGTTAACTAAGCTTATTGTGGTAATCATTTTGCAATATATACATATATCAAATCATTATGTTGTATGCCTCAGACTTAAATGTTATATGTCATTTATATCTCAATAAAGCTGGGGAAAAAAAAAAGAGGAAGATTGGCAACAGATGTTAGCTCAGGGCCACTCTTCCTCACCAAAAAAACAAACAAACAAAATCCCCATTAAGTGGAAGCAAAAATCAGTATGACAGCACCCATGCTGGATTCTTGACCCAAATATGTCTTTGGATAGATGCTCCACCTCTCACTGCAGCACGAGGACACCTAAACCCATTTGCGTGTCACTGGTAGAAGTTCTTCTAGAAATCTAGCAAAAAATGCTAGTTCTGGACACCAAAAGATTCACCAGATCTCTGTAGGGTATATAAACTATGCCACCACTTTATTGATCTATAAAACACAGATTAATAAAATAATAAGTAATCGATGTAGGGGAGCAGTTCCCGCCTCTGCTCTCTGACTTAACGTGTTCCTCCATTTCTGGACCTAAAGCCCTGCTGCCATGGGAGAGGCTGGACAGCCTCACCAGGCAGAAGCACTGATGGCTGGAGGAGTCCAGGCTGGGATGCCAGGGGCAGGAGCAGCTGAAGTGGCAGCAGAAGGAGTGGTGAAGTGGAGCCTGAAGGGAGTCTCCAGCTAGTGCCACTGGTGGCCTTTAGTGTGGCCACAACTCAAGTGGGAGCCCCAGACAGAAGGCAGGAAGCTTGGCAGTCCGTGCTGCGCCCCCAGGATGGGGGGCCAGAGAAGAGAGGGCTGCACAAATGGATGTAGCTGGAACCAGGCTTAAGGAGCGGGGCAGGCTCCTGAGCTGAGGCCTTCAGAACTTTCTGCCACTGAGTAGCTTGTGACTTGGGCAAAGCATTCAACCTCTCTGGGTCTCATTCATCAGCTCTGAAGTGGAATAATATGTGCCCAATTTCATACAGGGTTGTGTAAAGCTGAAATCTGACAAAGTTAGAAAGTATGTTTCCCAAACTATAAAACACTGCCCAACTACAAAGTCTATTATTCTTACTCTTTGGAAGAAAAAAATCTTGCAAAAAGCTGATTAGACTCACAACTAATTTCATAAAGTAAAGCAAGAGGCAGGAAAACAAAAATCCATGAAAACCCAAAATACATCCAAGCAACAAGCATTCTGTTCTTCTGGCTAGGATAAGAATGTCACGTTTTAAGAACAACTGAACTACTGATTTGTTTTTGCTCAGCATCACACACCTTTATTGGGCTTTGAGTTAGCCACAGTGTAGACCAAACAGAAAGTATAGACTAAACAACTGACTTGACTCTTGGTGAGAGGTGGGGGTAGCAACACACAAAATTTGGAGGAACTTCTAAGTGAGGCCCCTCGAACCCCGACTGGGCAGAGCCAGAGCCTGGCAGGCAGGGCCCACCGGGTTCACCGCCGGGTCTGGGGCAACATTTGGGTTTTCCCAGTTCAAGTGGGGAGAGGAGGCTGGTGCTGGTCAGGTCTCTGGATAAAGCAAGCTGGGAGAGATGCACTGAGGTTGCTTGGGAGATGTATTGCTGGAAACAGGTTCTTTTAGGTCTTGGGAGGGTATCTGGAGGGCCTCCAAAGTGGAGGCCAGGACTGGGAAAGAAGTGAGGTGGAAGGACGAGGCCAGCACTGTCAGGGAGGGGTGGCTGGCCTTTGGGGGTGCAGAGGGGTGAGGGTGGGAGACAGGCAGGGACGGAGGGGACTTGAGTGCAGCCTGGCCCCGCCCACGAATGAGGAAAGGATGAGTCTCGGTTCACACAGACCATGTGCCAACTGGAGGAAAGGCTGCACTGGGCCTCTGGCCAGAGCAGCCACCCGAGGTGAGGCCCCCGCAAACACAGCTCCCCGGGGAGAGGCCCCAGGGCCCTGTGCCGACCTGGCCTTTTCCTCCCACTCTGCAGAAGAGCAATTACATCTGAGCAACAGGAGGCAGGGGGCCAATCCCGCCCGCGGAAGAAGGAGAGGAAAACTAAGAGAAGAGAACATTCGAGTCAAGGAGGGGAAACATGCTCCCCTCTCCTCTCCCTCCATCCGGGGAAGGACTGGGGGGAGCTGAGGAACCGGCTGTACTCCCTCCATCTCAACCTCCTACTCAAAATTTATTTTTCACTTCATTTCACATGATAGGAACATGATGTCATTTTTTCTGTTACTCATCACATTAGCAAACACAGCTACTGCCAATTCACAAAACTACTTTCCTCAGGGTCAGTGGGCCAAACGGGCTCCAGCCCCACGCCTCACACTTTGTCCCCAAGTGTAATCATGGCCTGAGCATCACCCTTCACCCAGCCAGCCATGGTGACAGGAACACGGGGGGCTCCTGGGCTCAAAGGGCCTCAGGGATGGAACGGCCTCAGCACAGCACAGAGCCACAGTGGGTTGACTGTGTGAGTGTGGTCAACCCTTGACCTCTCTGTGCCTCAATTTCCTCATTTCTTAAACAGGACACAGGGCCAATTTCCCAGGGCTGTTGTGAGGGTCATGTGAGATTTGGGTGCTAGTGCACTGCCCCATATTCAACATCAAAAAAGATTTACTGAGTATCTACTGTGTGACAGGCTCTATCCTAGGAGGTGGTAAAACAGCCTCAGTCCAGGCCACAAAGGGCTTCACCCTACAGCAGAGAAGTCAAGGAAAAGGCGTTGCCATATACCTGAGGACAGCTGCGGGGGCGGGGTGGTAAAGAGCACAGGCTCTGGAGTCACATTGCTCAGCAGCATACTGGCTGTGTTACTTCGAGCAAGTTACTTAACCTCTCTGTGTTTCAATTCTTCTCAACTCTAAACAGGGATAGAAGAGTAGCTACCTGCCTGTGTTGTTAGGATCAAAGAAAGTAGTTTACGTAACTTTACACAACATTTGGCCCAAGGTAAATTTAAGTATTAGCTTTAAAGAATAATTGTAATAATAACAAATGTGATAAGTATCACAGAGGGAGAGTATGGAACAGGACAGAAAGGCTCAGCAGAGGCACCTAATCCAGTCTGCTGGTATGAAAAGAGGCTACAGTCAGGGACAGTTTCCCAGAGATGACATCTGACCTCAGACCTAGAGTAACATTTATGAAGTCAACCCTTACGACTTGCTCTATGGCTGGAGAGAAAAGACCTGATACTGCCTGGTGCAGCTTACACCTCAAATTACTGGGAAACAGCCTTCCTGCCTCCCGGCTGCTGCACTGCAGGAACCTCAAAGAGCCCGAAGCACAGACAGGGGCTCTAGGGGGCCCCCGGTGGTGGCAGCAGGAGCCAGGATGGATGTTCTGGAAGCAGGACCACATGCCCTAAAAGCAGCGATGCTGAGCTCCTGCCCGATGGGGCCAGCAGAGATGGAGGCCCTGGTGAGAGGCCGCAGCAGCAAACGACGCACCCCACCTCCACCCCAGCGTGGCCACCGACAAGTGAGAAAGGCTCTTTTATACACCCTGATTCCCCAAGCTCTTCCTGGCGGCAACTGCAAACGTACCCAACAGACTGTTTCCATCTTAGTGTTTTTAACACTGTTCAAGAGACAAGGGGCCGCCCCGTTGCTGCACACAAAAACTGCTTTTGACAATTTTTCTAATAAATCTTGTTTCTAAGTCGTAAAGACTAAGGGAGTGGCTCCTGTAATTCAACAAGCCTCGGCTCTGGCACTTATTTTTCCAGGATGTTCCCTGGGTTGACTATAAAACCTCCCGGCAATATCTGCATTACTGAACTGAAGCACAGTCACCACCGGAGCCTTCATGACGGCCACTCCACCTGCTGAGCAGAGTTAACAAGCTGCCCAGTGGAGAGATTTTTATGTACTTGAAGAAGACATCTGGGATTACTCCAGGGCTTTTTAATTGAAAGTCTCAGTAGTAAATTTTGATTGCTAAACCTAAAGGCAGATCACTAAATAACTTGGACAGCCTCTTCAGATTTCTCACATGAGTGGAACTTCCGTTTTCATGTCAAAATCAATTGCAGACTCACCGAGGTCGATAAGAATTGCGTGCTGCTGGGAGGTGAGCTGTTTTAAGAGTTCTTTGTACGGCGTGTCCTCTGGCTGCTGTTTACTGGGAAACTGGTGTTTAAGGTGATATTGCTGTGCTAGGAATTTCCAAATTTCACCCCGCTGATGACGTGGCACACCTGGGGGGGGGCGGGCAGTGTTAGAAAATAAAGAGAGAGACTTTATGCATAGAGTACAACAATATAAATGAGTTGTGTTTCATTCCAGAGATCCAAATTCTTGTTGCATTATGAATTAACAGCATAGGAATGGAAAGGAAGCAACCAAAATTTTGTCCTGTTTGCTTGCCTCCTTCCTTCCTCCACACGCCTCCGACCCCCTCCCACTTCCCCTTTCACCTTTCAAATCTACACTATGTTCAGAGTCTGCAAAGAAGAAACTGACGAATGACATGAGCTCCTATCTGGTGCTAATTAATAATGTTCTAGGGAAAGAAGACCAAGCATATAAGACTACAACGTGAAATGTCATCTCATATCATCAAAGTGAGGTGAGTCTGGATGGAGATCATGGTGTCACAGAATCCTTCACTTGTGCCAAGACTTGAGAGTAGGCCCAGTGGGGCATTGGTTAAGTTCACACGCTCTGCTTCAGTGGCCGGGGATTCACTGGTTTGGATACTGGGCATGGACCTACACACTGCTCACCAAGCCATGCTGTGGCCGCATTCCCCACAGAAGAATTAGAAGGACCTACAACTAGTATATACAACTATGTCTTGGGGCTTTGGGGAGAAGAAAATGAAGATTGGCAACAGATGTTAGCTCAGGGCCAATCTTCCTCATCAAAAAGCATTAAAAAAAAAAAAAAAAAGAGTGGGAGAAGGCAAAGAGAAGATAAGTCAGAGGAAGGGAGCTATGAGTGTTGCCGGTGCCTCGGGCAAAGGGAGGGTGCAGGTGGCAGCCAGGGTGGAAGGGTTTCATTAGAGGCAAAATTCAGAGCCAGAAACCTTCACTTTAGTCGGTAGTTCTAGGGAACCATGAATGTTTTTGAGCTGGGGAGGGAGAAAGTGAATCAAGGCTGAGATTCAGGAATACTGATTAGACACCCTCCTGCAAAGGAGGGCTGGAGGAAGGGACCAGAGGCTGGGCAGGGAAGCATCTGCATAGCCATGCCGTGGTAAGCGTTCAACGGAGATCTAAAAACAAGAAAAATTATCCACGAGCCTCTTTCATGCTTTAAATATGATTAATTTGAATATTCAAAGTGATTAAAAATGTCTAAAACTAAGAAAAGTTCCCTTAAAGTCAGTGATGTTATTTAGGGCAAACCTCATTAGAAAAAGTGACAGTTTTGATTTAAAATTCTTTGGTTCATCCTTCAGCTGCTATAAGGCTCAAATGTAGACATGGGGAGAGAAAGAAGACTGAAAAATGAGACACCGAATCTTTCTCATCTCTGACAGGAGTTCTCTTGAGAGAAAAGGAACTTTCAGATTAGAGATTAATCTTTCTTTCCATTCAGAAAAAACGTGACCACTTTGGAGACTTCCCTGCCACTCAGATGGCCTACCCAGGAAGACTGGCTTCCCACTGGCCATCTCTGAGAGAAGGTTCTACTCTGGTAGGAGAGCAGCAGCAGCTAAGATTTACTTCGAGGTGACCAGGCGGTCACCATTCTAAGCACCTTACAACCTGCTAGGGGAAATATTATGGTCATCCGCATGGTAAAGATGAGGAAACAGGCCAACGAGGACAGGCCCTTTGCCCAAGACCCCCCAACTGGTCAGGGGCAGCACAGGGAAAGAGCCTGCCGTTTCCTCTTCATCCTCCCTGTCAGGACTGTCAGACAATCTGCTCCTCAGATGGGCACTGGAGAAAAGATATTTTATGTCCCTACCTGGCAATTAAGAATAAAACAATCGTTTGCGGATTTGAACCAGATGGTAGTCAATTTCATTTATTACCAGATCCACAAGAAACTATTTAGAAACAATCACTCAGCCATCTCTTGGAAGTACCGAAGGTATAGTAAGTAATTTGGTTTTTCCCTTAAACATAGAATTGTAAAAGAAAAAAAAAAAAGAGTTAGCCTGTTGGAGAAACACAAGGCCACACGTAACTTGTGACCACATCCTACCCCTTCTCTAAATGTTTATCTCAGCATTAATCTGACGAGCCTGTGTAGTGGGTTGAATGGTGGTTCCACATCCTAATCCTGGGAGCCTGTGAAAGTTAACTTATTTGGAAAAAGGGTCTTTGTAGACATAATTAAGATCTTGAAATGAGATGACCATCCTGGATTATCTAGGTGGGCCCTCTATCCAATGACAAATAAGTGTAAGAGACACAGAGAGGGGAAGGGAAGAGGAGGCGGCAACGTGACTGTGGAGGCAGAGAAGGGCGTGTGATGCAGCCTCAAGTCAAGGAATGCTGACAGCCCCCAGCAGCTGAAGAGGCCCACACAGCCCTGCCGACACCCTGACTTCAGACCTCTGGCCTCAAGGACTGCAAGGGAAAAATCTGTTGTTTAAATTTGTTACAGCAGCAATGAATACACTCTGATATCTGCCTTTTTACATTATTCTTTTCCTTCTCTCCCTCTCTACTATTCCTGCTCAGAGATATAGCTTAGGTTTGTGTGTATGTATACACATACACACACACACACTCACTCACACACACTCTCAAGCCCTTACTACTCCAAATCGTATTAGAAGTAAATGTGGCCTGAAAAACAGTCAGTATGGTAAGTGATTTATAGTGGGGCTTTTCACAAAATATTTTGTTCAAACTGGGAAATTTTCCCAAATTATGAAATGACCAATTTCCTTTTATTACTAAATCATTCCCATTATCTTATCAGCCCTTTATTTTTTTGGAGGAGAAGAACATTGGCTGTGTCACTGGACAGTGCCACATATTCTGATGTTTAAGCAAAAGCTGAGATTTTGTGATTTGAAAACAAAGGGTCATGCAAATTGGAGGCAATGTTTTTGCTAAGAACGACCTGTTACACCCTTCCTCATCTTTGGTTTTGCTTCCACTCCTAACCCAAGACAGAAACCAGGCAGTGGAGTCCACCCAGAGCCTGCAGGCAGAGTTCTGCGTGGACGGGAGGCCATCCTCATCCCCCATCCCCCAATGTCAATACCTTTTTACTTTTACTGACTTTAAAAGCAATATACGTTCACTATTTAAGTGAGGAAAAAAAACTTCTGAAAATGCAAAAAGAGAAAAACCACTCATAACTAGAGTGAACATATTTCACCATCGAAAAGCAGGAAGCTTCTGAAAGCAAAGGGGAAGAAGGCTATTAATTACTTTACTGGGACAAGAGGCGTAAACCAGGGCTATGCCAGGTAAACTGGATACATGGCCATCCTGTCCATTACCCGCATATCTGCGAACACATCGTAGATATTTTTCTACATAAAGACATATAAAAATATACAACTGCACAGAGATCATGCTGTACGTTTTTCTTCATTTAACAACTTAGACATCTTTTACATAAGTAATACAGATCTACTGCATCATTTTCAAGGAATACGATATGGGGTGGTCACATGGTTGGGTTTTTTTGGTCTGTCTTGTTTTTTGGCTATTAAAGCCACAATAAGCATTCTTCCTCCCGCAGTACATTTTTGACTAATTTCTAGAATAGGTTGCTATCCATGGCATCGCTGGGTCAAAGGTAAGCAGAGTTTACATCTGGTCCATACTGCCAACTGCTCAGGCGTCCTCTTCATGATCCCATTCCTAGAAAAGTACTCTCCAGATTATAAAGTTCTACCTCGATATCTTCAGAGAAATCATTAAAACCCAAACTAAACTTTGAATTATTTAAAATTCCATAGTAGTCTTCCTTCTCCCACGTTGACACCCCAACCTGCCACTCTGATCCACTTTTAACTTGGAGGTTTATAAATCCCTTTATTTCTGTCAGTTAGGAGTCTTGAGATCATTAAGAGGAGAGACCTCATGACCCACACAGGAACTGCCTTCTCTCTCAGAAGTGACTCGGCCTTTGCCTGAAAGGTCACGGGGGGAGTTCTGATTTAATCTCATCTTAATTCCGAGATATGAGATATTCTGTGGTCATTTTTTAGGAGTCCTTAAATCTTATGTGCTGAAACCAGCTGAGCTGGATAACTGACAAAGCTCCTTCCACAGTCAGAGATACAACATTCCTGCAGCAGAATGCGATGTTGCAATGTTGGGGGATACACGAGGAAATTCCAGGGTGGCCTCAGCTCACCTCGGCGTATAAACTGTCCAGTCATCTAGCCCCCTTCATTACACAGGTTCCAGATGCCCTGAGTATTTCTGTCAGTCCTCCTGTAAAATGCACAACAAAAACCAACATATCCAGGTGCCAGGCTTCTAAGAAGCTCAAATACTCGGAACAGTTGTCACCGACTCATGCAATTTACCCTTTGTGGAAGCAGAGGCACCTGAAGATCATCATCTAGTCAACAGTGAAAAGCAAACTAAGTCTTTTCTCTGCTTTCTTTTTCAAAACAGCAAGCTGGGGCCATTTGGTGCAATGGTAAGCCTCCAGCAACCACTACAGAGGCAAAGAACGTGAGAGCTAGAAGAGAGCTCTGAGAGCTTCTGCTGGGTCCATGCCTCTCCTCCTTCCAGCCAGGAGGCCAGAGCCCAGAAAGGTGAGGGCACCTGCCAGAGGTCACACTGGGAGCTGCTGGACGATTCAGAGCCTGAGTCCTCACCACTCACCACATTTCTGGCCTCTGAGAAGAGCACTGCTGAGGCACGGTTCGACTGCAGGCCGCGCCCTGTGGTGGCCAGAGCTCCAGCAAACTGGGGTGTGCGAGCAGCTCTGTGGCCCTGGGCCCATTACTCAACTGCTCTAAGCCCAGGTTTCCTTAACCACGGAAAGGGGAAGGTCATAATGAGCAACAACCACATCTTGTTACTAAACTTGATGCTGTCAAAACTCAGAGGAAGGTTGAATAATACCTAATGGACTATAGTAGAAAAGGCCGCTTTTACTCTTGCACATAAATAATGCATGTGGAACTTTGTCCCCTGAACAGCTGAGTCAGAAGAAAATGTACGATTTATACATATTTGCAACCCTCATTCCAGACACCTGGTTACTCGTGACTAGCTGGACCGGAACTCAGCAGCACAAGAATTAGACGCAGAAAGCTTCCAGTCCTGCCTGCAGACACTAACCTACGTTTTAAAAGAAATGGTTGTTTTCTTTAACACTAATAATCATCAAAGTTAAACTCTAAAACAGTGCTTCTCAAACTGTCTTTGATGAAGGACCAGTTTTTTCTTTTTCTTTTTACATTTTCCAATCACTGCAGACTGATTCTTTTATAAAATACAATAAAAATGAATCAGTAGAAAAATGAAATGAGAAAAAAAAAGACTGATAAAATACAAGTCCACATTTTTTTTATGAGGATAACTGTCAACTTGCTGAGAAACTTTCTAAATGCTTAGTCTCAAGTTCTGTATTTATCTTGGATCAGTAACACTTCAGACTGGCACACGGCCAGCAGACCACACTAAAGAGAACAGCAAATAGGGGCCAGCCCTGTGGCCAAGTGGTTAAAGTTCTGCACGCTCCACTTCAGTGGCCCACAGTTTGCAGGTTCGGATCCTGGGCGTGGACCTACTCCACTCATCAGTCATGCTGTGGAGGCATCCCACATACAAAGTAGAGGAAGACTGGCACAGATGTTAGCTCAGGGCTAATCTTCCTCACAAAAAAAAAAAAAAAAAAAAAAAATTGCAGCAGCAACTACTGCCCCGTCTCCAAGGCCTTTCAGTACAGCAGACACTGGCAGTGTGCTCCTAGCTATCAGCTCATTTACTCACAACACCTACTGTCATCACTCACAACCTACCCAGGTGGAAAGTGAGGCTCAGAGATGTTAAGCCATTTGCCTCAGTTCACACTGCAAAGTAACTGGTGGAGCTGGGATTCAAACCCAGGACTGCCTGTCTGAAGTCTGTGCCCCACATTCTATGACGTCTCCCACAAGTGCCAGAGAGAAGCCAGGCAATTAGTTTTCGGTTTACTATTTAACTCAAAGTATATCATCCTATCATTACCCAGTCTGAAGGCAACTAACCCCTTAGGTTGTCCTCTATTTTCTTCCTGTTCCCTGGTCTTCCGGGCATTTGAATTAATTTAATTAAGAGGAATCATGAAAGGTGATGAAACGTCAATTAACTAACACAGCTGGAAACAGATTAGGTGAAGACATGATAAACAGGAGAGGGACGGCCACTCAAATGGGACTGGAAGTTGTTTTATTGCCCACTTCTCCACAGTCATCAGTGAGGAGTGAGGTTGGCTGGCCCGACTCCCAGCAAAGCTTACCTTGCCCAACTGCCGAATGCACTTTTTCCATGTCAAACTTAATTTTTGATCTTCCTGGAGTGCTGAGCATCTTTTCCCACACAGTAGTTACTTCTTTAAGGCAAGGAGTGATTTCTTCATAATCAAGCTTTAGGCGCTTGTTCAGCAAATCATTTTCAGAAGCTGGAACAGACCAGTGAAGATCACGTTAGTGCACACGACAGCTACATGTCCTCTATTTCACAATGTGGCTGCCTGCCCATCCACTCTCCTGAAATGTCGAGCAGTTACAGCAGGATTAACGGGTCCAAGTTAAAGTCACTGTTCCTGCCCCATCCCATTTCCCTATTTTGGAAAAAGCTAAACACCTAGGATGTATCCTTGATTTCTCTTACCCCTTCACCCCCAATGCGTCCCGTTGGCTCTACTGCTAAAACTCATCCCACACCTGTCCAATTCTCTCCTCCATGTCCATGCTATTAAAGCGTAAACATCTCAAGGGCAAGACGTGCATGCTAAAATTCCCGGCACCTGGCATGGTTAGAGCTCAACAAAATTTCTCCATCTAAACTGGGAGAGCCTCTCCAAGGACAGTTCCTTCTTATTTACAGCCAAACCTCCTTCAGGTAGCTTCTACCATTAGTCATGTTTCTGCTTCCTGGAGCTGAACAGAATAAATTTACCCTTTCAGACAACATCTCCTCAAATACATGAGGATAGCTATGTTTCCCACCAATCTCATCCAGCCTAAAGCTGCATTAAGAAGAATTATATTGGGGTTGGCCCAGTGGCGCAGTGGTTAAGTTCACACGTTTCGCTTCGGCAGCCCGGGGTTCACCAGTTCGGATCCTGGGTGTGGACATGGCACTGCTTGGCATGCCATGCTGTGGTAGGCATCCCACATATACAGTAGAGGAAGATGGGCATGGATGTTAGCTCAGGGCCAGTCTTCCTCAGCAAAAAGAGGAGGATTGGCAGTAGTTAGCTCAGGGCTAATCCTCCTCAAAAAAAAGAAAAAAAGAAAAAAAGAAGAATATATCTAAATTACCAAAATGGGAGGAAAATCAGTTAAGGCAAATTTTAAACTGACCGTTCTAAGGATTAAAACCGCAACCTCATGCCCACCTAAAAACACTAAATCCTATTTATACACAGTGGTAATATCGCCAGCCCCAAAGTCCATTCTGCATCACATCTCAGCTCCAGACTGTGTGTTTGTTACAGAGCAGGTAGGGTACACAGCTAAGTATAAGCCAATACACACACTTCTGCAGAGCCAGATATGATGATAATAATAATAAATACTTACTAAATGTCTTAAGTACTTCATATTTAGTAACTTTTCATCTTAACGATGCTCTGAGATGTGGTTTTGGATGAGAACATTGAGGCACGAGGGGGTGGGGGCTGAGTCACCCCCACCCACAAGGTACCAGAGCAGGCCTGGCCCCTCGCCCTTCTCCTTGCACTGCAGAGCTTGCTGTTATTAACTACACATTTTTTTCTGGGACTAGGCATATATCAATCAGGGGCCTTGAATGTTTGATAGAATCCAGTGGGGTTATTGGGCCCAGAGTTTTCCTTGTGTAAAAGATTTTCAATCCAGATTTGATCTCTTTAACAGATACAGGGCCATTCCGATCTTTTTCTTCTCATTTCAGTTTTGATAAATCACATCTTTCAGGAAGTTTGCCCATTTCATCTGAGTAAAGTTTACTGGCACACAGAGCTGTCCTTAGTCCTACAGACATTGATAAGTCAGGGCACACATCTCCCAAGTCTGCTCTCCCCACGCACCCCACGGGAACAAACCCTCTCCCTCCGCCCACCTCCCCATTTTATTCAGGAGGAGACAGAGGCCTCACAGGTTCATTATTTTGCCCACGGCCACAGAATTAGCAAATGCTGAAGGCAGGATGTGAAGCCCCCAGGCTTAACACCACTATCTGTGTGCACCCCAGTTCCTATTATTTTTTAAATGGGAATTACAGCTACTTCATTGATTTGCTCTTGTGAGGATTAAAGGAGATGAAACATACTAAGCTTCTACACAATGTCTGCTCATTAGCAAGTGCTCCACAAATTATCAAAGACATAAAGACGGAAGGTACAAAACGTTGCTTGACAAACTAAGTGCTGATCACGTGAAATAAAATTTTTTCTTTTTCCATGTTAGAAATGGAGCAGATGCTAACTCAGTTGATCTGGCTAATGCTACCAGGATGGTAAGATCTTATTCATCTGATGCATGGACTCTGAAGTGAAGTGACCCAATTACTCCCCTCAAGGACAAATGCAACAAAAGACAGCACTGGAAAGGCCTGCGGAGACCCCTTGTCCAGCCTCTCATTTCATGGACATGGAAACGGAAGGTGAGGATCCAGAGACCCGCTCAAAGTTATTTACTAGCCAGAGGGGCAGCCAAGGGACCCCAGGCCTAGAGCTGCCTCCCTCTCATCTTTTGTGACTTTTCATCTACCGTCTTTATTCTTTTCCTTCTTACTTGGAAGAATACATTTTCAAGGTCCCGCTGAACAATTCAACAATTCTCTACATCTGTGGAGTTCAAATTTTTTAAAAATGTCAACCCTAGATTTTTTTGGCTATGAGAAAAGACAGTAGATGTCATTAGAGTTGCGCTAATCCCTGTGGCAAATCGGGTTCAGGACTGGCCTTGCTGAACGGTGACTGCAAACAGCCCTGTGCTCTCGGTGCCAATGGACATTTCTCTGGCAGTGAATTCTGCTGTGAGCAAGGCTGGCTACACTAAAGGGCCCAGCAAGCAACATGAAGAACCTGCTCTGAAAGTCAACAAAACAGAAATATCTGGCCAGAAGCAGCAGCTGGAAAGGCTTAAGCCATGTATTTCACTGTTGGCCCAAGCAACACCCCGCTGTTTCGGTATCCTGACAACACTGCTGCCGAAAATCAGTGGCCTCCAAAATGCCTTATCATCCAAAGCAGATGGCGCAAGCCAGCGACAAACATCAAGGCTCCAAGGCAAGAACTTCAGGTACGAGACCAAACTGTTTAAACTATTAAATAACGGTCTACAAACCCAGGTTTGTGAGGTTCTGGGGCTAGAGGGAAACCAGGACTAAATGAGATCAAATGTGACTTTGCAAGAGTCATCCAAACATTTATGACCATTTAACACTGACATGTGCTAACTTGGGACTTTGGACTAATGATGTTCAGGTCTGATGTATGGCCACTGCATACAGGGGCTGCTGATGCTCCGTTAGCAACTGGCTTCACAGACAAAATGCTCTTCCAACTGCCACCAACACTTGAAAGCTTAGAAAGGGAAGGCTAAGAGACTAGGAGCTTCAGTAACTAAACGACCTCCAAAATTGTAGAGATTTTAGAAAAACTACACTCAATATCTAATTTTTTTACAACCAAGATGTCGTATTTGTTTAACCAGGGAATACCCTTTTCTAAATCAGAATACTTTCAACTACAGTTCAAAATTTCATGTGTTATCACATCATTATGCAGAAGTACTATCTGTAACATTTTAATTTTAGGTAAACAGGAAACGCTGAATTATATGAGTAAGTCCAATAAGCCATAACATGCTGACCAAAAACCATGGTTGTACTGAATCACAGCCCGCTGTCCTGCATTAGGCTGTCTCGTCTTCATTTATAACAGGGGGAAGTGGCCCTGCAGGGGTACAGCAGAGGACTGCTGACTTGGGAGACAGGTGATGCATTTTAGTCCCCAAACCACCAAAACTTAGCTGTTTAACTTTGGGAAAATCACAGTTCAGCTTCCAACTCTGTACAATGGAGTGTGATACATTTAGATGACGTGGTTTGGTTCTTTCTTAGAAGCAACACTTCCAGAACTGTGATAAATATTTGGTCCATATATTTAAAAGCCAGGAAATAGGCTTAACCATAGGAAGAACCTCCTCATACATGTTTCTCTAAGTCCCTTCCCAAAGAGCAAGTCAGCCTGAACCCTTGATCAATTTCAAGAGCCAATCCCAGTTGCCATTTAACCTTTCTTTAAAAAGCAATTGAAGAAAAAATATGCAATGGTGTGACCATCTTTCTAGTGCACAGTACATTCTATGGTTAGTTTTTGTCAAATCTTACTTCTGTATTTAATGGGAAAGTTCTGCCCCTCATCCCATCCCAACAAAACTTACTAAATATTTTTAGGCAATTCTTGACGAGGCTCTTATTGATGACTATTTTTCTCAGTAATATAGGAACTGTATACACTGATACAATGCTTTTTATACTATATTTAGCAAATTAATTGTGCTTTCAACATAAATGTAAACATACGTTCAACTTTATAGAGCTAAGAAGAGAAATTAATTCAAACCGTAAAATTGAAAGACCACACAGAACTGAGCACCGCCAGATGAAGTGAGAAAGCAGCAGAAAGATGCTGTCAAGGGCCAGTGCACTTAATGCCACACCTGGCAAGGTGTTCCAGGCAACCTTAGGAAACTCTACCTTGCTCAGTCTGTCTAGTCATTTACATAGCTTTACAAAAGCTTTGCTTTGATCAGCATACTGATCTCGTCTCATTAATTACAGTCATGATTCCTTCCAATATTCCCAAGAAGCCAGCCAGCATGATTCCTATTTTACAGCTACACCCTGATTTTCTGTGGCTGTCATTCACAAGAAGATTGGCCAGCACAAACCTGATGGTCATTAAGGTTTATGACCTATATGATGGACATAACTGCCTTTTTGCTTTTCAACAAAAATCCCCACATACACGTGAATCTAAGTGCCGTGCTCCAAAGCTGTCAATTAGCTGATGGCATGCTGAGTGATGCCATCACTATCAAACCTCTTTTAGACATCCACTTTTAGAATTACCTTCAAGAACATAAGAAAACAGCAGGAAAACAGCTGGAAGAAAACTTGGCATTCTCTGCAATGAATTCCCCTCACTCTGGCATCCCCTTTCCAGGGCACAGTGATGGCATGGTCCATTTCTCTCAGCTTCAGTACTGTGTACTGGAAAGCTCACTACATCCATAAGCAGCCTGTTCCAACTGTTGGACTACTTTCATATCAAAAGGTCTTATTACTCTATATTTCATTTGTTTTTGGTCAAAGATGACATACTTATCTGGACTATGAATCTCATTCATCAGATTTGGTGTCTTAATGACTTTCAGTCCTATACAAACATCAAAATCATTATTAAAAGATGAAGATTTGCAATGAAGGAGGAAATTCAGTGAAAGGTACTCTAATTCCAAAATTGCTTTGGGCAGTGGTGGCATGACTGAACTACTTGTTCAGCTTCCCTTTGAAAGAGTATGTTCAGAATTCCCCATCAAAATCCTCATTATTTTACACAGGTAGCTCTCTACACTCCAAGACCCATGCTCTTTCCATTATACCACCCCGGTGCAAAAACTTAGCTTCTTAGCTACTTTGAAAATAATATTTATTAGTTCAAGTCACAGTATGGAAACAGGAAATGAACAAAATCTAAACTTTCAAAGTTCATGTCTTATTTTGATACTGACACAACCCTGGGCAAGTTACTTGGCTTCTCTGAGTCTCAGTTTCCTCTTCAGGCTAATACCTGCCTTCTGGAGTTGTGGTCAGGACTAAATTAGCCTGCCTATGTAAAACCTTGAAATCAGTGCAGGTTACACTCAGCAAATGCTGAAGGTTAGCCCCCTGTCTTTCAGGTTACCTGCAACTCATTAAAAATGCACAGAGTGGGGTTATGAACTTTAATGATTTATGTAGGATCAGTTCATACCTAATACCCAGGCATAGACTATGGCTGAGGAGAAAGTAGAGAGAAACAAACCAAAAAAAAAAAAAAAAAACCCAAACCCAAACGCTTTTCAGAAGGTTAAAGCTTAAATTTGAAGGTTGGTCTCTCAGAAGTTATAGACATTATGCTAAAAATGACCATATAGGAATAATTAAATATAGTTGATGAGATTATCATTAAATCTCCAGAAAGTAAATAGTGTTAACTTTACTTTGACAAAGTAAACAGATACTTTATATATATACACACACACAGAGTATTTTGTTTTTTTTAAGACAGTATGCTTATGTCTGACGTGATACACTTCAGACCCAAGGTGAACAAAGATCAGGCCTGTTGAATTTCACAAATGGCAAACCAACCTTGCAGCTTCTGATTCTCCTTCTCCATTCTGAGCAGCAGTATCTGTTGTAGAATAGCCTTCTGCCACAGTTCTCGGAGCTCGCGAGATGTCCTTTTCTTTTCCTCTGGTACTGGGCCAAAGGGTCCATCTTCACAAACCGGCTCTAACGGAGATCGCGGCGGAAGCTCTCCCAGCTCTGAATAATCTGGAGAGGGAAAAGGACATTTCAGAATGGTCATTTTTCAATAAAAATTTATATTTAAACACAGTGCCAAATCGGAAAATTCCGCTCATTCAGATTTACATAATGACATCACCCAAGTGTAAAATTCATGTTTCAGTATGTACTGCAGTAAACTATGGCTGAGCCACAAACATAAACAAATTATACATCAAATAGTAAGTGAAAGTTGTAGCAGCTGAAGAAATGTTCAAGGATACCTACTTTTTAAGGTGTAATATTTTTATCTTCCCCTGAGTTAAGGACTACATTATTGATGATAATAGCAGACATTCATGTAGTGCCCACTATGTACCAGACTATTCTGAGGGCTTTGTACAATTTAACATTCAACCACCCTGAGACGTAAATATTATAACTATTCAGGTTTAAAGAAAAGCAAACTGAAGCACAGGAAGTTTAAGTAACTTGCCCAAAGACACACACCAAGGAAGTAGCAGAGCCAGGATTAGAACCCAAAGTCTGCCTTTCATGTGCATTTTTAACCACTGTGTCATAGAGCTAGGTATTTTGAAAGAAGATTAAAAGATGTTTCACAGCCAATAATAACAGTGACCAATAACAGACCCTCCCCCACGTGCTGGGCACTGTGCCAGGTGTTTTATACAGACAGACTCATTTAATCCTGACAACTCCAGAAGGCAAGTATTAGCCTAAAGAGGAAACTAAGGCTCAGAGAAGCCAAGTAACTTGTCCAGAGTCACACAGTGAATAAGCAGGTGCATTGGGATCCCAATCTAGGTCTGCCTAAGTTGGAAGCCCATGCTTTCTGCTAGATACCCCTACAATTCAAATGTTTCCTATGTCATTGATTTTCATATTTCTACTTAGGAGCTGAAATCTTTTTACGTTCCATGAATGTGTACCTTTCTCAACTGCAGACACTACATTGCTGGCATAGTGTTGTTATAACTCACAAATATCTTACAGACAGGCACAGAGAATGTTCCCGTACAAGTGGACCTCAGCTGATGCAATGCCTCCTTGAGAGCTTCTGCCTAAACTAAACTTAAATAAAACCATGGTCTTAGCACATGCCATGAAAAACCCTTCACAGGCGACTTGAGTCATACAACCACCCGTAATACAACATACAATCTCTTCCAGTGGACAGCTCCAACACAATTCCACATGAGGAGTAACTTCTAGAACAGTCATTACCATTGACTGCTCCTTATCTTTACCTAAAGGTGGGTTTGTTTCCTATGAGATCTATGAAATCAAACCCAAGCTACAAAATCTTTAATTTCCTAAAGCAACTTGTCCATCTAATTCCTCTTAAATCAATAGATTAAAATTTTTTTGATAAGCATTAAGAATGCTTCATGATCTCTGTAAGCATTTGAAGCTTATGACATTTCTATATATGCTTATTTCATTATGATCCTATTGAACAAATGAATACATTAAAATTCTACTTCTTTTGGAGGTAAGAAACAACAGTTTATGCACGTTACAGGAGGATGCTCATGTGGAATGGTGAATATTAAAGCAGGAATTAAAACTGTCTATATGGTAGGATCTCAATTTTATAAAGATTGTAAGAGGCAGTATAGCTTAGCGATTAATAGGGCAGGCTCTGGAGCTAGGCTGCCTGGGTTTTAATCAGACTCTGCAATTATTGATGCCGTGATCCTCAGCAAGTTGCTTGATCTCTCCTGCGCTTCAGCTTTCCAATCTGTAAGCAGGAAGAACAGCACCTCCCTCACAGTGGTGTTACAGGGATGGAGTTAATACATATGACATAAACCACCTAAAATAGGGTCTAACACATAAGAATATAGTGAATATTAGCTCTTATTGTTTGCTATCACATATTCATTAAGGGCACAGAAAAAAATACTGGATGGAAGCATCAAAATTTATCCACTCAATCACAGGCTCTAAGAAGGCTAGATAAGGCCACCACGTCAATGAGGGTTTGTCCAGCACAAGCACAGCTGCTGACCCCAGCAGGTGCCTAACAAATAACTGCCGAAGGAAGGAAGAGAGAGTAGGTGCTGGTTTTTGGAGTGCTTATCCTTCTCTGTATTTCCTGTATTTTGTAAATTTGTGACAATAAATATTTTTATAACAAAAGTTTTTTTTAGGGGTCGGCCACATGGCATAGTGGTTAAGTTCAGTGCACTACACTTCAGCAGCCTGGGTTTGGATCCCAGGTGTGGATCTACACCACTCATCAGCCATGCTGTGGAGGCAACCCACATACAAAACAGAGGAAGACTGGCACGGATGTCAGCTCAGGGCAAATCTTCCTCAGAAAAAAAACACTTAAATAATGCAAATCTATTCTGATTTAAATCAAAGATTGAAAAATGTTCTCGTGCAAAACAAGACAAACCGAATCCCCCAAAACCTGTATACTTAGGATTAGTCATTACTGAATATGATATTCTAATCTTTTTTCAAAAGCAACTTTAGGATTATTATTCACTCTTATTCTGCAGGCCAAAGTCTTCCACGTGAGCCCTTTTTTTTTTTTTTTTTTTTTTTTACCACCTCGGCTGTTGAAACCCTGCTGGCCACTGCACCTATGATTCAAGTTCTGCTTTATCTCTTATTGGAAGTATTTACACTCCCTCTGGTTCACATTCTTGTGAGATGCCCTGGCTCACGTGGCAGGCCTCAGGGCAGTACCTGGAGCAACACTTCAGTGGCCTTTCCTGTGTTTATCAAAAGAACCCAGGATGCAACCCGTCAACAGAACATCAAGTGGAGTTAATCCAGAAATTGTCTCTCATTCTTAAGCCCTACTAAGACGACAAGGGCTCACCTCACCTAGCATCCTTCCTTAACCTCGTCCCTCCTGTCAACCACCGCCTTTCTTCTCCCAAGTGCCCTGAAAATTCTACTACATTGCTTTCAAATTCTGAAACGTAATGAACAGAGCAGGTGTCACTCAGGCCAGGCTGACAGAACATGTCTAGGAGTTTGGGCTGGTTGGTCCCTAGATCCACTTCCTCTCTGTCCATTGGGTTGCTGACGAGGACCAGAGGATATAGAAGCTTACAAAGCTCCAGTTTCTGCTATTTTCTCATTCGGGGAAATTAGATCTACAAAGAATACAAGCACATTGTTTGGTGATGATGACTGTGAGGTTTAAGGCAGAAATTGCCCCCTTAACGTCTCTACTTTTGCCCTTTTTCTCATTATCACCGCGCAGTGCACTGAGCTTTTACCATGTGATGAGTCCCCAACACAAATAAGCTTGTCTGAGTCTCCTGACCACCTCATGAGATAGGTGATATTATCCCCATTTTACAGCCAAAATAACTACGGTGCAGTGAGGTTTTTTAAGTTGGCCAAGGTCACACAGCTAGTAAGAGTGAGAGGTACAATTTGAACCAAGGTGTATTTTCCTCCAAAGTAAACAATGCTTATCCCGCCCTTCTGTAACTTCTAGAAGCAGGAGCATCTCTTGGGTATCTTGCTGACTCAGTAGGTCTGAGGGGAGCCTGAGAGAGTCTGCATTTCTCTCAGGCTCCCAGGTGAGGCCACCACTGCTGGTTCTAAAGCACACTTCAAACAGTGGGGCTCCATGCTCCACTTCTACTTCTCGTTTCTTCACACAACCCTATGTACTCATCGTGTCAGTTCTTCGTTTTCCTTTCTGTTACCGTCAGAACACAGTTCAAGTGCTGTTGTCGTCAGCTGCCTGAATTTAGGTCTTCACTCATGGCCACAGCCTCTCCTGATCTTGGTCAGGTACCAAGGCCAAGTCAGGAACACAAACGGTTACAAGTATGAGTATTAATTTCACCTCTGAATTACTTAAATAAAAGCTAATCCACTGCAAAGGTCAGCAAATAAACCCAACAGTTTACAGCAGGGTTTCTCTACCTCAGCACGACTGACACTTGGGGCTAGATAATTCTCTGTCATAGGGACTGTTCTTCGCTTTGTGGAACGTTTAGCAGCATCCCTGGGCACTACCCACTAGATGACAGTAATCTCTACCGCCTCCAAGAGTGGAGCAACACTACCCAGACAGTGCTAAACGTCCCCTGAGGGGAAGGGGAACAAGATCACCTCCAGTGAGAAGCCAATTCAGAGTGAGAAACTCATCACTTCTTCTCTTCTAAACCTTGGAAAGGAGTAAAAATATATCTCCTTCACCCAAATTTATTTTATGTGGTAACAATTGCTGATGTTATAGTTAGTTAACAATTTTCTTAAAAATACAGTCTTCTGTTCACATTAACAGTAACCCAGTTACAAAGTAGTTTAGTAACTTACAAAACGGAGATAGTTAAAATATTTGTTTGTTCTAAATTTAGCCTGGCTAAATGAGTCCAACTGGGCTGTTTTCTTATCAATGCAAAAAGATTCAGATCTGGGACAAGGCTGCGGCCTTGTAACCAGTCCTCTTAGTGTTGCACACACATGCACGTGTGTGTTTGGGGTGCAGTCTTGTGAGATATGGACTCACGTCCACAGGGGGTTGAGTGGAGGGGCAGGGAATGGATAATGGCATGAAAACATCAGACAACTGTCAGCTGAGAATCCTGTTCTAATAATAAATATGTGCATTAGGCTAACCTGCATGATTCCTGAGCCACTTACACCAGCATTACTGAGTCCCTCATATGTACCTGGATAGGATGTGCCAGGTGCTCTGAGACAGTCTACTCTGACGTGTCTAATACTCTCCAGAACAACACCAGGGATCCGGCTCTTTTCCTCGACTTACACTCTCGCTGAGAGATGCTGCACAGAGGCTGACGTGGAAGAGCACCGCTCAGTCCAGCAGAGGCTGCGCAGGGGGCTGGGGGCCACTCCGCCCCCACGCCAGCTTGGTAGGTCGTTCTTTGCAAATCTTTGTAAACATACCCGCCTTTGGGGGTCCAGTCCCTCAGTGCAAAATGCGAGAAAGGATATTCACCTCCGACTGCCCAACTGTGGAGACCACAGGCACTGACAGACGTTTATAAAGTCTGCAGAGGCACAAAACCAAAGGGCTGCCA